GACTCAACCACTTCCCTGGGCAGCCTCTTCCAATGTTTAACCACTCTTTCAGTAAAGACATTTTTCCTCTAAGAACTTAAGAACTAAGTAGTCAGTAAACATTTTTCGTTCAACAATTACAAAAATAAGAACAAATCCTCACTTCTCAGAGTCAAAATATTCATTGGCATCAATGGAATAAAAATTGGAGTGTAGCTAAAATGCTTATCTTCTTTAAAAAAAAAAAATGTTTTCAGCTATAATTTCAATTATCAGGACCAAAATATTTTGCTGTACATCACAAGTTTCACCTACTAAGAGAAGGAACCTTTAAAGAAGGTGTTCCTATGTCAAGTATTTGCAATAGATTATAAACATTTTTGGAATGCTTTTCCAGAAAAAATATTGCCTGTTAGGAAGTGAGTTTTTGTTCAGAAGGGGAAGTTCAGATAGGAAATCTTTGGCTATTGCGAAGAGCACTGTAAGCCAATGAGACTGCCTGCAAGTGACATTCATGAAGCTGTCCAGTCACCTGGGATGTCAGTCCAAGACTGTTGGGGAGAAGCAGGGACAATCGAGTCAGTGTTGGGCTCCCCAGGCTGCTTTCTAACTCCGTCCCTGCTGCACCCGTTCGGCATCGGTCTTTATTCTGTGCCAGCCTTCCAAAATTGGCACTTCAGCAAAAAAAAAAAAAAGAGCTCCAGAAGTATGTGAGCACTGGCGCTATGCATTTTCCTCAACGTACCTGGAACTCAGGATAGCACTAAATCAGTTCATATGCATATAAAGCCACAGTTGCTGACAGAACAGTTCACAGATCTGTAGATTTTTAAAGAGTATATCAACTGGTTAATATTTATGTATCAGTGTGGCAAGGTACTAGCAATATTATAACAGTAGCTGGGTACCATTTTGTTTAACTTGAGGGAAATTCAATATGAATAAAACAGCAACTTTTCAAACATGACATTTAATCCACGCGTGTAAATCATACTAGGAGATCTATTATTCATTATTAAAAGAGCACCATATTTTTATTACACTGAAAATGAAACACAAATGCTGTGAAAAATTTAGTGCCTTTTCCTGAAGTTTCAGGACACTTATCATGCAGTCATCTAGCAGGGGCTGACACTCATTTTAAAATATAGCTACAAAATTAATACATTTGAACTCTTTTGCTTGGAAAAAGAGGATGTTCTATTTCACTGAATGAGGTGGATTTATTTTTTATTTAAGGCTTCCTAAATACTTAAGATGGCAAAGTACTTCGGTAATGTTCACATTCAGAGTTAGATATATAACGAATAAAGTTCATATCTTTGTTGTTATTAGTCATTTCCAGCATTTTCTTCCCTGAAGTGCATTTTGAAAACTACATATATCAGAAACTGATTAACATGACCTAAGGTATTAATTCTTAAAATATGATGAAATAAACAGTTTCAAGGACCTTATTTTCTGTATGTCAGCAGCTGTCTAAGGACTGTGATGCTTTTAGTAATTACAAAACAAGGTATCATTAGGAAAAGTAGAGCACAAACTTTTTTTCTCTCCCCCCCCCCCCCCCCCCATTATCCACATCAC